TGGGCGAGCTGCAGCTGCGGCGAGCGCAGTTGCCTCTGGTGCATGGCGGCCTTGGCTTGCGAGCGGCGCACCGCGAGCGCTTAGCGGCGCATTGGGCGTCCTGGGCCGACTGCCTCCCGGTCCTCCGGGCACGTCTGCCGGCGCTTGGGGCGCTCCTCGCTGCGCTGAACGAGGGGGGTGGTGGGCTGCCGTGCGTGGCCCAGGCCGTCCAGGCGGCATCTCCGCTGCCACCGGACTTCCACAGGCCCACGTGGCAAGGGCTATGGGATGGAGCGGCGCCGGGCCAAGGGCCTGGTGAGCCCGGAGACTTCCTCCGCGGCTGGCAAAAAGAGGCCACCTCGCTGACCGACGAGGCGGCGCGCGATACGCTGTTTTCAGACCTTGACCTTGCGTCGCGCGCGCTGCTGTTGTCGCAGGCGGGGCCACAGGCGGGGAGAGCCCTGCATGTTCTGCCAACCGCCGCGGAGCTTCGGCTGCCCAGCGACCTGTTCCGCATTGTCCTGCTTCGCCGCCTCCGCATGCCACTGCCCGCAGCTGCCCGCGCCTGCCGCTGCGGGCGCCCCGCAGATGCTTTGGGGGACCATGTCACTGCTTGCCCGACGTCTGGTGTGCTGCGGACAAGGGCTGTCCCCCTGGAGCGGGCGGTCGCGCGCGTCTGCCGCGAAGCGGGGGGGCGGGTGGCCATGCACGTCCGCGTGGCTGAGATGAACGTTGATGTCCCGGTGTCCGATGCGCGGCGCATCGAGATCCTGGCGTCGGCATTGCCGGTGTGGCATGGCGCCCAGGTGGCCATCGACACCACGCTCGTGAGCCCGATCGGGAGGGACGGCCAGCCCAGGGGCCGCAGCGCCAGAGAAGCCGGGGGGGTGCTGGAGCAGGCGGCCCGGCGTAAGCGGGAGACAACTTACCCGGAGCTGCTTGCTGCGCGGCGGTGCCGCCTCGTTGTCTTCGGCGTCGAGGTTGGTGGCAGGTGGAACGGCGAGGCGAGGGAGTTGCTGCGCGCCCTAGCCCGTGCCAAGGCGAGGGAGCGGCCTCAGTGGCTGCGGGCCTCGGCTGTGCAGGCCTTCCACCAGCGCTGGTCCGGCATTATTGCCGTTGCGGCGCAGAGGGCGCTGGCTGCCACTCTGGCTGGCCTGCCAGGAGCGGGCCTGGACGCCTTGGATGGCACCGCGCCGCCCTGGCCCGAGGTGCTGGCGGCCGCACGCCTCGGCGAGGCTGAGGAAGCCAGCCGGCTGCCGCTGCGGGCCGGCTGATGGGCCCCGGGCCGTGGCGGCACGACGGCGGGGAAGGCTCCTCCGCCCTTGTCGCCGAAAGCGCTCCACCCTGCTTGCACGAAAAACAACATGTCTCACCCTCACTGCACGGAAAAAAAAGCAAGCAAACAACAACACCAAACAATCAAGCCAAAACCTTGAGCCAAAATGGCTTGAGCCAAAATGGCTTCGAACGCATTTTCTTGGTTGATTTGCAAGGTTGTGCGCTTGTGTCCCCAACGCCTTGCGTATTCTTCGACGGCTTCAGCCTCTGGGTCATTCACCACTGCCACACGTTGATTCGGAGCCGCCCATCCAGCTCTGGGCGTGGCATGATGAATTGACCGCTTTGCTGAGTGAAGTCAGCACGTGTCCCGTGTGGCCATTCAAGATATCAATCCAAAGAATGACTGTCGCACCAGCATCGACTGCCCGATTGACTGACAAGATGTTGTCTGTTATGCTTTGCTGCCTTCTACAGGCAGCCTCCGCCTTCTGCTGATGCTGCCCACCTAGCAAGAGCACAGGCCTTGTACCGTATCCCCTTGCACTTTAGCTCTCGGCTAAGGTATAAAGGCTTGCCTTGTCAGATGGGCCACCCATGATCGGAACGTGCCCAGGCGGCAGGCGCCCGTGTCTACAAGTTTGGGGCCGCCAAGCCCGCTCCCAAGCTTGAGGATTTGGTGCCCTGTGTCAGAGATGTGTGGGGTCCGCCGCTCCGGCGGGTTTGCCAGCGCCCGCGTCGGCCCGCGCTTTCTGCCCTCCTGGAAAACAACCCTGTGATGGACGGGCTTTAATGGGCGACAGGATCCGGGGTAAAAACCGTGACCCTGCTCGCCGTTTGCGGCTCCCTTTGCCTTTGTGTTCTGCCTTGTGTTTTTGTGGGCGTGCTTTGGGTCCCCTTGGTGATCACCGCTGCCGCTCCTGCAGTCTGGGACCCTTCACGCCTGCAGTTGGTCGCTTGGCCCGAACGTGCCGTCATCGAACAACTTGTTTTTTTCCGGCCGGTGTCGCCTCGCTGGGCTTGCCACGAGGTGGAGCTCCAAGGCTGCGCAGAGCTTTTCCCTTTGCTGCCGCCCATGTGTTCGCTCGCGGCCTTTTTGGCCTGCCCGGGGCCAACGCCCACAACCACGTCCTTGCTGGGCTCGTGTGCTGCGAGGTGCCCGCATTCAGTCGTTTGCCCGTGCCCGGATGTTGACCGGGTGATCAACAGCGTGCAGGACCAACAGCCGGGGCTGTGAAGCCGCACAAGCCCTCTGGTGCCCGGAGGCTGAACCCCTCAGCCGTTTTTTGGGGTTTATTGGGGGGCAGACCCATCCAACGATTGACCAAAACATTTTCGTTGTAGGCAATCTAATTTGGAAAGCTGCGTGTGTGTCAGCGCTACCGTACGCCAACCGAAAATGATGGTCAGAGTCACAGTTGCGTTGAGCGACGCAGGGAAGCCTCCGCCCCTCGCCTCCCGCCTGCCTTGCCGGTGAGGGGCGCGCCCCTGTGCGCATCGTGCCCGGAGGCTGTCCGGTTCACCAACAGCCTTCCTTCAAGCCCTCCTGTGCCCGGAGGCATCCCTAATGGGGGGGTTTTGGGACAAGACTTGCTGCGCCGGAAAAAGGCGCGTTGCAAAAACAATGTGAATATAATGATTGCAATAAACTGGTGTAATTTTGTGGGACCCCCCCTTGTCCTTCGATTAAAGCCTGTTCCCGCCCCCCCCCCCTTGTCCTTCGTAGGGCTGTCGTTTCTGACTTGACTGGGCGAGAGCAAAGCAAACCAAAGCAAAGGCTTTCTGCGGTGGTGTATTCACAAACAAGGGGTTCAAGTCCCCAAGCGAAATCCGAATCTCCTCGTTGCAGCGCGAAGCAACGGCGAAAACAATATATATTGAGTAACGTATTTCTCAAATTATGACTGTAGCCTTGAGGGGGAATCCCAAAAGGTCCGCGAAGGGAGTTGCGTCACTTCGTGGTTATAGTGCAGTGTGTGCTTTCATGGCAGTACTCGTAGTATTTGGAATCATTTGTTTCTCGTTTTTTTTTTGCAATTGTGTTTCAACAACAATGGGAACGCAAAATGCGCAGGATGAATACACGAATGGCTTCAGCTTTGCGACGCGATTCATTGGAATCCAAACACGCGCTGGCAAATGAATTTTTCATGCCCTCCTCGGCCTTCAGTCCGGTGGGATGACCGATTACAGTCTTTCAATGATACCAATGCTGCTAGAAGCTGTCAATGGAAATCAAAAGCTGAATTCAACTTTTTGATAGCATCACCTTTTCTACCCCCCCATGTTTTTATGGGACCGTAGTGGTAGCCCCGGCTCCGACTCGACTGGGCTCAACGCATCTCAACGCAAAGGCAAAGCAAAGCTGCTTTATACGCTGACGTATTGACTCGAAAACGCCTTGCGCATTACAAAGCCAACCATTCAGCTTGGCAGTTTCGAGCCAAACAATGAGGACATTGGTGAAATTTCACGCCCAGCAAGGGCAGTCAGTCGATCAGCCCATTTCATTGGTGGTCGCCTGGATCGTCTTGTAAGTTAGCTTGCAAAATTCATCTCCCAGTTGTGCACCACAGCCCAGTTCACGCAGTGGGATGGCCAGCCGCAAGCCAGCCAGCTAGCTGTCGCCAATTGATCCGTCCAAGGATCCACGTCAGCGCGACGTGGGCGGCTGCTGCCGCTTGTCCCCGGCTTCGCGGAGGCTGGTGGCAGCCCTTGCCAACCAGCTCTTCGGTGTTCCTCGCCTGCGAAGCCTCGCGAAGCTGACCCTTCCACGAGCATTGGCCCCGCGAAGCATCCGGCGTAGCCTCCCCAGCAGTGTGTATAAAAAAACCTGGGCCCTTGACCCATCTCCAGCCTTAAAAAAACTGCTCAATTGTTTTCTCCTTGCGCTGCTCTCGGAAGTCCCCGTGAGAAGCGTGGGCTTGTAGCGCAACGTGTTAACCTTCCGGGAGCGGCGTTGGTCCGGCTGCTGCAGAGACAGCCGGTCTGCGCTCGCAGCGCACGCTCGCCGCCAGCGTGCAGAAGCAGAGCCAACGGTGAACGACTTGCTCGCTGAGGCTAGAGAGGCAAACGGCCCGCTTGAGCTTTGCGCTTGAGCTGTGGTGCGGTAAAAACACACACGCACACACACACACACATGTCATGAGCAAACCTTGTCATCACGAGGATTCGCGTCGTTTGCCAAGGCATAGCTTAGCTTTTGGGCTCTGTATTCATGCTGGGAAATGATGGCTGCACCTTTTCCGCCGGCCAAAGTTGTGACGCGAAGGTTAGTGCGTAAGGGAGCGGCAGCAAGGGGGATGAGGGCAGAATCTGCTTGAGATATTTGCTGTTCACGGCGGACTGTTGAGTTGGCATGGGCTGCACGCTTTCGCCATGTTGGCTCAGTATTGTCGGCGAATCAACCCGACATGTCACCGACTTTCTCACGCACGCGCACTTAAGGCCACATGCTGTCACCTTGATGTGCCAAAGAAACACACATTTCAAAGGCTGTATTTGTTGATTGTTTTCCTTGCTTTGTGAGGGTTCTGCTATTGTGTGCCTCTCAAATTTGCTTGTTGAGTTGGCTGGAGATCTGTGGTTTTCCCGTGGTTTGGTTTCTTGGGCAGGTTTGTCCTTCAATGTTTCCGCCGAGTCAACTCAGCGTTTCAGCAAAACCATCCGCAATAGGGTTGACCGCTTAGATCCATGTGACGCTGACCCACCGCCCCGACCACGTTGGCCAGGTGCAGCGAGCGATGGCGGAAGGAGGGCGTGCCATGCGATACATGGCAAGGTGTTTGCACTTGGGCTCACCCCATTTCAGCCCCCCCCCGGCCGTTGTCCGCGAAAACAAGCAAAACAACTACCACGGCAGCCTGAAACTCCAAGAAGCCACGAATCCTTCACAACGCGCATCGTTTTCCTGGAAGGTCGGGAGGTTTGTGTGCAAGGGGGGTGGGGGTGGAGGGCGCAATTGCCAGCTCCCAAGGCATGAGCGTTACGTGTGAAGGGATCATTTGTGTAAAGCAGGCCGGTGAAAAAGGCAGCGTTGGCGTTACATTTGCGCCTGCCTTCGGCCCGCCCTTCAAGTCAAACCTGGGAGGTACACGGACAGGAAGTGAGCGAACCAGAGGCTGTGCTTGATGATGTGTGTGCAGGATCCGACGGCACCGACACGAAATCCGACGAGGCTGGTTGGAATTGAGGCCATCTCATAGCAACCACAATTTGCCGGGGGCTTCTTTGGGAGGAGATGCCAAACATAGAGGGCCTTGTTGGAGAGTTCAGGCCAACGATGGAACCGATTTAACTTGGGCCAGACTTTTTATTTCACAGCCGTGGTTGGCCCATGAATTCGATTCTGTTGTTTCCCGGACAACGTTTCTACTTGTGCGGAGCCTCCTAGTGACCCATAAAATTGGTAACAAAAGAAACTGTCCAAAAAAAATCGAAGGAAACACAACACACGAAAAGAACAACCACGCAAACAAAGTTTGCACGCATTCTGAGGTGCCGCCGGGCTACATTGACGGAGAGGCTCGGACATGCCAACAGCCCACGCCGACGGCTTGGCCTTTGCCGGGAACGCGGTGGGTATGAGACAGCATGTCAGTATGTCATATGTTAGGTACTCATTTTTAATGTCATTGCCAGACCCAACTTTTTGTTTGGTGAACAAAAAACAACAACCACGGTTCGCAGTGATTGTTTTCCAGAACCTCTTTTCAGGACCCTTCTAATTAAGACCCCCTTCAACGGTTGGGCAGCCGGAAAAAGCCTCGCGCGGAAGAAAAACAGGGCCACTTCTTGTTGAGAAGGTTCTGATAACCTTTCCTCAGGGTGAGAGGGCTTTCTTCTTTTTTTCCCTCCCCCCTCCCCTCGTCTTTTTACGCCTGTTTCTTGCAGGCCACATTTTGTTTTCTTGGCGGCTCTCGACTGTTAAGGGATGCCACTGGCTGCATGTCCGGTCCGAGCCGCGTGGTTTTCTTCGGTCCCCGGGCCTCGACGCCTCGACGCGGCGACCTCGACGCCATGCAGCCGCCGCGCGACAGCCTCGCGGCGCGGATGCTGCAGAGGGGCACCCTGCCGGGCTTGGAGCTCTTAGGGAAGGCGCAAACATGGTGAAAGTTGCAACCGTTGGGCTCCTGAAAAAAGATGTCCATTTTATGTAGTATATGCCAGAGAAAGGATTCCAAATTTCTTGTGGAGGAGTACGTGCAACCATTTGAAACATGTGGCTTTTTCAACACCAAACCACCATGTACAAGTTGCAAGGTTCAGGTGTATAATGTAAGGACCACGGTGTTGGGAAATATTTTTTTACATTTTGCTTATTGTGGTTTAGTGGGAAATCCCGACTTGACTGCTAAAATTTGAGAATTGTTGCTCCCCTTCACTATTCTAGGGGTACCTTCCATTTCCATTCTGAACCCAGGGATCCGAAATCTTTCAGGAAGCCATCAAAAACCCAGGGAAAACGGATCCGGCTTTTGGAAAGAACGATGGTAAGAATGGGGAATCAACCCCCTGGAACTATGAACGAAAATGTTCGGATCGAGATTGCTGTGGGTTAAAACCAATGGGATCCCATTTTGGGGTAGGGGCACCTCCATTTTAGAACCTATTTTAGTGGGGACTGGGATGTTCACTGGGGGTACGGGATTTTGACCCATGGCCAGATGTTTCCAGAGATGCTGTGGGACAAAATCCTGGAGTTGGGATGGATGAAGCATGAGAAACTGTGTGAATGGGCGTTCATCCACGGTAGGACCCTGTTGGTGCAGTATGACCACATGTTCGCAAGATTTCTGTTTTTAAAATTGCATTTTGGAATTTTGAGGGATCCCTGGTTTGGGGTTGCTTCATCGCTGTGTTGTTTGACCACTAACCGCGTGTCTTCAAGAGGGGTCTGGCCTGGGCCCTGCGGAGATTCCATCTCCAGATGGGGCTGGAGTTGCGCTTGGTTTGTGTTCGTGGGAAGGAGTGCCCTGTAGCTCACTATTTGGTTTGAAGGAGTCTTTGTTCTTGAGCAAGCATCGAGGAACAGAGGTATAGAATAAATGCCGTTGCTGTTTTTGTTGACCTTCTGGTCCCTGTTTGACAATTTCTAGTGAAGGTCCCGAAAGGTTAACCTTTCCTTTCTGGGTCCTAAGGGGCAACTGAGAAATTTGTTGATTTAAGTAGAAGTCTTTGGCTGTCCAAGACTGCCCCCGGGGGCAAACTCGCAGATTTGGACTTGGTTTTTTGCCATGGCATTCGCAGAGTTGGCTTTTGCCACAGAAAAAAATCCGGTGCATTTCAATCCTTTGAGGGTTTGGCCGCAGACGGTTTCCCGCGCAGGTTGCCAAGGCCACTCCCTTCTGGCCATCCAAGCCGGAGATCCGGGAAGTTCCTTCCGTGGCCAGTCACTTGGCAGATTAGTGGGGTTTCCCCTCAATGAGTTGAGGAGTTGCTTTTTGGCCTAAATGCCCCAACATTTTTGCGATCACTGGCTTATGAATCCCAGGTCAAGACTGCCGGGGCCCTTTTTGAAGCTTCTTTGCGAAAGGCAAGCCGTACATAGCAAGCTGGGGAGCAACAAAATAAGAGGGCTGTTGGGGGTGCCTACTTGGGCTTCTGGACAAAGGGTGGAGGACGTGGGGACGCAATCGAGACATATTGAAACGATTTTTCTCGATGTCTTGAAGGGGGCCATAAGGAAACCAACTGTGTTTGCCCAAATTGGGGTCATTGACTCAGCTGACTCGACCAGGAATGATGTCATGACAAATGACCTGGCATTGGGGTCGGGATGCAGGATAAGCGTGGAAGCTTCAAGTGTATGTTGCCATGTGCTTGGTTGGTTTGCTTGGTTCCTTCCTGAAGCCGTCCCAAAGAAAGAGGACCCCGTAGATTTTGCGTCACGGCCAGCAGCACCACCAGCCACACGCACTGACCTCACCTCAGGCGTCGTCAGCACTCCGAAAAAGTGCCCGCCTTCAGCATCCAGCAGGAGCCCGGAAGTGTCCCTTTGGTCCTTTTAGACTATTCAGATGGGCATGATGGGGCCCCCTTTTAGGCATTTGCAGACAAGCAAGGGCCCCCCCCCCCCCCGCACCCTGCACCCCTCACGCAGTAGGAGCCCGGCGACATCCTCCACAAGGACCTCCCTAGGCTCAAGGATTCGGGCGAGTTTGAGCGCAGTGCCCTGGCACCGTTTGGCAGGCGAAACCAGTGGCTCAAAGCCGACGTATGTTTTGCTTGTGCCTGTTGGGTTGCTGGTCTCCAAAGTGCAGTTTGTAAATATTGTGCATTGGCCTTATTTGGGCTTGTTGTTAGGAATGCCATCAAAGTTTGTGATCCCCTTTTTGCGGTTGGTTTCCTACAATTGAGTCAGACTCCACAGTCAATCAGCCAACAAACTAGGGGCCCATGCCAAGGAATTCACAAACACAAACACAAAGTCTCTCTCTCACTCATTCTCGCACTCGCGCCAACGTAGCCCTCGCACTCGCGCCCGCGCTCGCACACGCACACGCACTCGCACTCGCCGTCCCGCACGCACTCGCACTTGCACTCGCATTCGCTCCCTCGCTGCGTCGCTCTGTCGCTCCGTCGCTCCATGGCTCGCTTGCTCGCTCGCTCTCTCACTGACCCACGTTTTTGCATACATGCATGTATTGATTATTCCTACAACACACGTATCTATTCACATATATGCACACACACACATACACACACATATATATATATATACCTTCGTTGTTTGAATGCACATGACAATGGTTGTTTGCTTGTGATTGATTTGTGTGTTTGCTTTGCTCAGCCTTTCACTCTTGGTTTGGTTTTTGAGGTGTTCCAGCGGTCTCCCAGCCGCCGGAAAGTTGGGAAGCAGCGGCCCTCTCAGCTGGTGCCGGTGAAGCCACTGCCAGTGGCAAAGACTGCGGCATGGCGCCATGGGATTTGGGCGTGCCCGTTACCAGGGTTGGGGCAAACATTGTTCACGTTCCCTTTCAAAGGGGGAAGGATTCTGATGTAACACTTTTTACTGGCTTCGACATGTTTAACCCAGGGCTTGGGGTTGGTCCACTGCCAGAGAAGCGAACCAAGGTCCCTGTCACGCGAAAACTAGTTGCTAGAAACCTCGAGTCCTGAAGAGGTTCCATTTCATCGCATGAGTAAATCCTTCGAAGGCCTCGTGGTTTTGACCTACTTATTTGCCATCGCCCCCCATTTCTCCCCCCCATGATCCTTATCAAAACCGGCCATCTTCGAAAAGGGCAGTCTCTTGGGTCGTAAAGGGTTCTCTGGAAGGATCCCAAACTGGGCCAGCGGTTGCCATGGCAGAAAAGAGGTTTAGATCCTAGGTTTAGGGTTGGCTGGCTATAGATTCTGATGGCAAGGAGCCCATTTTTTGTGGTTTTTACATGTTTCTGGCTGGGGAGCTAAGGGCTCCACTGCCCTCCAACCCATGACCAAGCTTAGGCCCCATTCGTGGCTCGCCCGAAGCAAAGCACCGAGGTGGTGAAGCCGCGTCGCCGGAAGCACGGCAAGCAGCGGCCCTCCGTGCTGCTACCGCCCGAGGTGATGAAGCTGCCCAGGCCGATTCGACGAATTCCGGATCCCAGAAATCAGACATAATGTTTGTTTATTAATATGGGGGTGCTTCTCCCTGGTTTTAGTGGGGATTCGTCACTGTTGGAGGGGAACGCCCCCCTATCAGCAAACAGGGGTTTGTTAATCGGGGTCAACATTACTTGTCAGAGGAACCCCCCTGAAAGCATTTTCTTGCCAAAAGGGGAGCCAACAGAGAGCGATTTTTAGGCGTTTTGCCACCGAAGCTGCTGCCTGTTTAGTGCCCGAAGGGCCGGGGTTAAAACACCCCTGAATTGGATCTTTAGAATAACTTTTGGGGAAATCACCGGGTTTTCCACTAAACCCCCAAAAAGTTACAAGCTTCTTGCAGGGGGGGTCAACAGCAACCAAGAATGCAGGCCCTGAAGTGCCCAACCATTGCATTCCAATTTTTCAGGCGCTTGTACTACTTACGTGCTGCTTCCTGCGCTTCGGCGTTCTCTAGTGGGCATTCATTGTCATGAATCATTTTGGACTGCTAAGGGCTGAGGAGTTTTGAGGCAATAGGCGCTTTCATCATTCATCAGCCGAAAGCAAGACAGAGATGCGATGGTTGTTTCCCTTCCCATTGGTGAGTTATGCAATTGCTTGGTTTGTGCGAGTTCATGCAAGGAACACATTGTACATGAGAGCAAGCAATCGCTGATTTGTCAGTCATGAAGCAAATGGCATGAAGTACAGGATGTTGAGAGTGATATGATCTAGGTGATAGTTGGTGTCCGTACCTGATTTGTTTACTGTGCATGGACGAAATCCGCACCACCTAAGACTCCCTGGAATGATGACCCCCCCCAGTAAATACCAACGAATAAAATGGTTTCCCATGTTTCAAAGTGGCGCGAAATGGATTTCGTCCACCCACAGTATGATGCCCCAGGGACCTACGATTTGGGGTAACCCTATTTCTGAGCCACACCCATATGATCACTAGTTTCCCACTGATTTCGTCCATCCACAGTACGGTCTCACATTCACTCGCGGCTCGCTGGCCGCGCAGGCCCTGCAGTGAGCAGCGTGCGGCGTCTGCCGCGCCTCCCGCGCCTCCCGGCCCTATCGCGGCGGCTGGCCGTCTGGCAACTCCAGCCAGATCCACGTCCAAGAGCCAACCGGAGAAAGAGAAACGGCCAGAGAAGAAGCTTAGCTAAAAGATGGAGCCATCTTTTGATCTTTCGATTTTTCTGGGGAGCCCCACTTTTCAGTGGGTTAAACAAGGCGAAGCTTTCTGTTTTGGTCCCGGCAAGTGGGTTTACTTTGAAATCAAGTTTGGAGCTTTTAGTCATGGCCCCGACAGGTTCCAAAGGTTGCTTTTCTCCTGCGGATGTCAGCTACCACTGAATAGGTTTCCAGCCATATTGCTTTCAGTTTGAAAACGTGTGGGCCAATAGGGAACCGACCAGCCAGTCGCGACCTGACCACGTTTTGGGGGCACCTCTCAGCCTGTCATGTTCCGGCTTTCCGGCCTCTTTTGTTGGCTGCTTCGTGTTGGTTTCTTTTTGGCCAACCAAAAACCTAGGGTTGGATTCCCCATTCTTTTCAACCGTCGTTCTTTTCAACAACCAGCAAATTGTTTTCCCTGGGATTCTGAAGGTTTTCTAGAAAGAAGGATCCCTCGAAAGAATGGTTGGAAGGCCCGCTTCCTTTGGTTTCCCTGTTTTCCTTTTGTTGGTTTCCTTTGTTGGTTTTCCTTTTGTTTGGCTGTTTCGTGTTGGTTTTCCGTTGGTCAACCGACAAAACGGGTGTCCGCTTCAGGCAGAGCCAGGGCCAGAGCCGGGCGCCGAGCTCCGATGTCCAACGACCCTCGAGTGAGCGGAGCGTGGCCAAGCCCCGCAAGGAGCCCATCACCAAACGCCTGAGGCGGGAACTGGGAGCGGGGTCCAACCAAGTGGTTCCATTTTAAGGGGCTCTGAAACTTGGGACTGGAAAACAGTTAAAAAAAACACACCAAATTGAAACACATTTTTTTGCTTTCTCCACTTTTGAGCGTAAGTTCGAGGCTGCAGGGGCCCAGAACGGGTCGCTTTTGTTCGTCTGCTGCTGCTATGATACCAGCCTCGTCTTATCGAGGCTAACGACTCCCAAGCGCGAGGAGGACAACTACGAGATTTCGGACTTAGCGTTTTTGGCCGCACTTAGGCCCCTGACGTTGCGGAGTGTAGACAGATTTGGAGGGATCATTTGAGGCTCAATAGGGCTCAATGCTTCATGTCGTTGCTTCCCATGGGTGTGGCAAATCGCAAGAGGCCGCGTTCGCACACTGCTGTGGGATGCAGCTGAGGAGGAGGACGAGCATGGAAATCGCGTAGAGCCAGACCGCTCCAGAAAGCGTATGCCTAGCTGGTGCGCCAACTACAAGCAGATCGCAGAAACGCAGGGGGATATTGCAGCTCGGCATTGAATCGACTTGCATTTTGAGGGCCTATGATCCCCACACCTTGAAAATTGAATTGGGGGAGGGAGGCAACCCCAATTCCATTTGCGGTTGAGTTTTCCCTCTTGTGGGGAAGCCTAGCAAAAGGACATTGCGAGACTCACCACCCCGGCCTCACCCCTGCCCCTCAAGGACATGGGATCCGGGATTTTGTGGCGTCCGGTTTGCTTGGCGCATCTTTGCAGGCATTGCGCAGTCCTGACGGTAGCTCCAAATAGGGGAGCCCCAAAATCACAACATGGGTTCGGTGCGATTGGTGGGGGGGTGGGGGGGTGGGGGGTGGGGGGTGGGGGGTGGGGGGTGGGGGGTGGGGGTGGGGAGGTGGGGTGGTGGGGGGTGGGGGGGGTGGGGGGTGGGGGGGTGGGGGGGTGGGGGGGTGGGGGGGTGGGGTGGGGGGGTGGCGTCCTTGTGGGCAGTCTTGCCAAGCCGCCCAGGCCAGGATACAGGCCAGGTCCAAACACGCGTTGTTTGAATTTGGTTTCCCTTTCAAACAGCCCAAGCAAGGATAGCTGAAAGAAGGACACCCCCCCTGTCCCTGATCGTCCAACGCGAGGATCCTGACAGCATCTTTGGCTCGCGCATGCCGCTGTGCGACTTAGAGCCTGGGCTGAAGTTGGGTGCCCGCCCGTTGGGCTTGAAACCTGTCCAGGCTTTGAAGCCCATGACATGGAACATGGAAAAGGGCAAAGGCATGTGGACTCAGGGTCCTAAAGAATTGGGTTCCCCTCTACTTTAAATATTGCTACAGCTTGGAGCACTTCCTTTGAGGGGGGTGGCGTTTAAAGGGGAAATCTAGGGAGCCCTACAGTGTCAGGGCTTGCGGGTCGCTCTCCATTACCGGGATGCATCATAATGCATCCTGCAAGCGCTTTCTCAGCTTTTTCAACATAAGGCCGTAAAACAATGCCTTTTCAAGAGGGGGTTGTGGCTGGACAAAGACCTGTAGCACTTGGGATGCATGAAATAGATAGTGGTGATAGTGGTATAAACCACTTACCAGTTGTCGCATGAATTTGTCCTGCCACAGGATGGACATGGGGGGCCCTTGGCGGGTCCCGGTACCCCATGTTGTCTCCCCCTCATTTTGCCACATATACCGGTATACCGGGAACCTGGAATAGGAACAAAGTCTTGTTTGTTCCAGTTGTTCTGCTTATTTCCTTGTTTAGGCGGAATTTCCGTGCAAGTGCAATTTACTGTATTATGTTTTGCATGTTTCAACCATCCCTGGTGGAAAAGTGTTGCGAGTGATGCTGGGACATCGGCGGGAAATACGCTGACATCTGCAGACAGCGAGCGGAACTCTGCGGGACACAAGCGGAAATCTTTGGAAAATGCAGGGAAATCCACGAAACCCCCAAATCTGTTTTTTTTTGTTTTCTTCGAACAAATCTTGGAGATTGTTCTTAGGAGCATCCAGGAATCCCAATTGTGACAACAAAGCAAATGTAGATATATACTTCTGCATGCACCTCTATGTATAATTGTACATCAATAAATACATAAATAAACAAGTAAAACAACATTAAAATATAAATATGAATATAAACATACACACACACATACAAAAATATATATATATATATCTGAACCACCGAGAAGAACTATATATATATATATATACATACATAATATCTTACGCTCTATATATGCAGGAGCTCATCTTCCCGGACAGCTTCTATCAGAACCGCAGCAGCCCCGTGAAGAGGCGGAGGGGCTCGAGCTGCCACTGGTTCCGGGACGCCCTGACGAAGCGGGAGATCCAGGCCTATGCCTTCAAGATGGGCCAGAAGAGGCGCTTCGCGACAGACACCCGGGGGTCCAACAGTTGGGTGATCCAACTGCTGCAGCCTCCGTTCCATATGTCTTCTTTTTTTTGGTTGGGGAGGGGGCAAGTAGCTTCACGTTTTTGCGGGTATCCAACTCCGGCTGTGGGAAAGTATTAAGGTGTCGAAGGTGTGCCCCTTGTTTTTGGGAGCAGCTTCAAAATCGGGACACCATGAAGGACAGCCGCCATTTTGGGTTCCCGATTTCGACAAATCTATTTGTGGCCGCATGTGGTCGCTCAACGTTTTTGGGAAGCCAACGGGCAACCAACAGTTTCGCAAGTTGTTCCCGAGTCTATGAGACACACCATGACACACCCATGTGATGGTCGTTTCTGATACATTGGGCAAAACAAATTGTAGGGTTCCCTCCTGCCCTTTTGGTTGCGTGAATTAAACAAAGGCCCATATTTTTGTAAATGCCCACACGGACTTGGGGGAGCTAGGTGGCTTTCACCCCCATTTCTCTCAATGAGGATTTCTCCCAAGAGTTTACCTAGACCCACCCGCCTCAAAGTTTTAGGGGGAATACGCCAAGCTTGACCCATCTCCCAGCCCTGGGGAGCTTCATTGCAGATGCCCAGGGTCCCCGAGGCTTTACTTTACCTTCTGCGTTGAAACGCTCAAACTGAGTATTTTCGTTCGTTGCCCAAGTTCTGGGGCACCCTCGGCACCCCAAATTGATTCTACAGCGGCTTCGGGGTCGGTGAAGTGAGACCCCTGCCAAACCTCTGCACAGTTCGCCCTACTTTTCCAGATAGCTAACCCTGGCGGAATTTGTATGGGGCAGGGGGGGGCGGGGCTGAATTTTCTCGGATTTGGTTGTCAACAGTCGTGTAAGGGAGCTGCGGCACGTCACGAAGCGCGGGTCCAGCATTCGGCTAGTACGCCGTCACATGTAGACCCGTTGTTTGGTGCTGTGAAGGGAAGGCAGCGTTTGCTATGGATCGTTGCGAAACATGGGCGCCCACTCGGATGTTGGTTTGTTGAGTTGCATGTTTGTCGTTGGTCAGAAGTTGGGGCCATAAAGGGTGCACTTCCAGTGAGCCTCAACCAACGGTATGTCCGAAATGGAACCCTCCCCTCCCTGCCCGGATAGGGATTGTAGCCAGGCGGTCCCCCCCCCCTTAAAACTGGATTTGGGGGAGGGGCGACCCCCTGGACTAGATAAATGGAATCGGGGGACCCCCCCTTCCCCGCGCAGGTCCTGGTCCACAGTGAGGGCATCCCTGGGGGTCACCTGCAGGCAGGGCTCCATAAGAGCTGCTTTGAGAGGCTTTGTCGTTTTTGTTTGAGCTTGGGATTGGCTGAAAAAGGGATCACTGGGAACCCCACCCTGAAGCCATGCCCAAGAGATTGATGATGATGATGATGATGATGATGATGATGATGATGATGATGATGATGATGATGATGATGATGATGATGATGATGATGAGGATGACGACGACGACGACGACGACGACGATGACGACGACGACGACGACGACGATGAGGATGAGGAGTCGGATGAGGATGATGAGGATGATGATGATGATGATGAGGAGGATGATGAGGATGATGAGGATGGCGATGGCGATGGCGATGGCGATGGCAATGATGTTGCTGGTGCTGGTTCTGGTTTTGGTGGCGCTGCCACCTGACGAGCCGCACAGTTCGGTGCCAGGGCTCGCTCGTCGGAGCTGCCCAAGAACAAGGTGGTGGCCCTGGTAAAGCCGGCGGAGAGCCAGTAGGCGGGGCTTTGTGTGCCCTTTTCGGTCGGTATGAGTAGTGACCCGGGTGAGCCCTGCCTTGGGGAAAGATCATGTACGCTTTTGTGTTTGTGGGGGCGCATGTGCTCAGCACTGCAGGGTCGAGAACAACCAAATTGCAACACCTGAAGCAGCCTATTTTTCAACATATTGTTCCACCCGGCCATGCCTGTGGCGCAGCGAGCCTGTCTCCACTGTGCGGTTTATCGAATGCAGCCACTGCACCTTGTCAGCGTGAACTTGGGGGTGATTCCTAAAACAGGGCCGTGCAACATGCAAAGGTTTGCTCAATTGAGGACCGAATCAATCAGCCATCATTTGGCAGGAATCTTGTGAGGGCCCCGTTTTTGGTTCCACCTTATTTGTGGGGGGGGGGGGGGAAAAGGAGGGGGGGTCCTGCTGCATCCGGAACCAGGACCTCAGGATGAGCGGCCGAGGCAAGGTTGTTGAGCAGAATCCGTGCAGTCCTAGTCGGGGGCAAGCCTTGACGCCGCAGAAATGGAGCATTGTCTTGGCACTGGATCAAACGCATACGCAGACGCATGCGTGTTTTTTTTTTTTTTTTTTTTTTATTATTATTATTATTATTATTATTATTATTATTTCCACATATCTGAGTGCATATTCATGATTGCGCCTGTGTAGGCAGGCAATCATTCAGGCAAATGTCGAATGTATGTATAATATATATATATATATAGCTGCATTTGCATTTACACAGTCATACGCACATACTTGCAGATATGCATACGCATGCAGCGTATGTGTGCATGCATGCGTATGTTTTCACATGATATCTCTACCTACATGAATCGGCAAACCTCCAGAGACGACGGAAAGCAAGACACACTGGGTGCGACATAGCGCAGGGTTTCTTAGATCTCCTGAGAGAAACTACCAAGGATGGTGTTTTTATTCTCCAGACCCCCTTTTTACACTCCCAGTGAACCTGTCATTCGTTCATGGCCATGCCCCTTTTCATGCAAGGCGGCACCTAGCCCCTCTAGGCTGGCACCCGGGAATTGCAAGAGGTACGATGTATGGGACTCTTGGCTATCCGTTGGTTGGACCTACCCCCAATGTTTTCGCAAAGCTGACTACTGCGAAGTGGCAACATATCGAACTTAGGGGAGGTCAAAGTCGAAGACAACTCGGGTTTGCGGCACGCTTATTTGAGCCACAATCAAAACCCGGGTGGATGAAGGTTAGTAAGCTGCGGATATCCGCCTTTTCAATTCCTAGGTTCTGGGTTCACCATTTTGTACGGATCGGTTTTGAGCAAGTGACTCATTTGGGGCTTGGAGCCCACCGAAAACGACGGCAATCAGCAAACTCCCACCTGGGAAATGGCCCGTTCAAATTCCCAGCGGTCATTTGGCTGGTCAAAACCAATGGGATCCCATTTTGGGGTGGGTGCACCACTAGGGGGGATTGGGAGGTTCACTGGGGGTACGGGCTTTTAACCCATGGCCATTTCGGATCCAACTCGAAGGGACTAGCCAGCTCTTTTTTTTGTTGCCGCTCGACCGGAGCGGTTTCTCGAAACGCTGCTCCGTTTCCTGGTAGGGGCCGACTCACGGAGGGGCCATTTGCCATCTGGCGGGGTTGGGCTGACTTCACGCAAACGTGTTAGGTCAAATAGCATCCAGTGTTGATCGAAAAAGGCGGGCTGTGTTCCCTGGAAGTTATCTCAGGCTCTACTTTATGTAGGGCAAGACCGGGCGAATGGAAGGGTGGGGGCATCAAACAGCCAAGACGAAAAAAGGCGGCGACGTCGTTTCCAAGTCCTGGCCATGATTTCTGGCAGCGACGAATTCCTGTGCACATGACGCGGCAAAACGCCCAACCCTGAGGCCGGGGCAAGAGGTCGGCTTGTCGCTTCGGCTTGTCGCGGATGGTTGGAGCGGTCTTGTTTCCAGGTGCCTTCTGAAACCAATGACTGGAGCTTTATGGGACGCAAGGAGCACTTGTTGCGAGAGAGGGGGAGAACCAAGAGAGTTCAATTGGAGGCACAGGGGAGTGCCAAGACAAGGCCTGCCTCCATTTCCAGCATCCTGCTGATGCCTTCTAGGCAATGTGTCAGAGCGGTGCCGGTCAGCACTGGGTCCCACCCACATGCTGGCGGCTGAAGATGAGTCCAGCCACACATCTTCCCAGAACCGCATCGTGCGCTTGCGTGACTGACACCTATTTCGCCTCGCCTTTGCCGCGTTGCAGGCCCGGAGACCAGACCAGCTAAGACACGGAACTTGAAAGATGGCCGCGGCCCTGTTCATGGTTGTTGTTGGGAAACATTTTACGTTTTTGCTTATTGTGGTTTAGAGGGAAATCCTCACTTAACAGCTAACATTTAAATTGTTGCTCCCCTTCCAACGTCAACCAAGTGTTAGTCCCCCTTTGCCACATCCAAAAGGAGTTTAGCAACAGGGGAGTTTCCAGTCCCCTTCTCCCGTAAAGTGCCAAAAGGAGATCCCTAAGTTATTAACTTTGAGGCACCACAAGAAGTGCCCATCTAGGGCCCAGGTCATGCAACGTCGCCCCAGGCCATGAAAATGCGTGGCCGCAGGCCAAGAGCACAGTGCGGGCATTCCTATTCCTTGGGCTACAGCCGAGCAAGCTTTTTGCGCGGTGACACGCCAAAAATCGCGCGAAAGTATATAAAGGCTCAGTTGCCAGCCAGCAAGACAGCACTGTTTTTGTAGCCTACCCTTCAGGCACACATACAAGAGGACGGATGGCCTTTTTGCAGGGACCGTATCTACTACCCATTGTGTAATGGTCTGGGTACTTTTTCGGACTGTTGTTTTTGGCATCATCTTCTTTGAAGCTCCGGTAAGTATACACCTGGTATGAACCTAGTCCTTGGGTGTGGACGAATAGTTGATGAATTGAGTGATGGAACGCCAGCCACCAAAGGGCCAAACATGGCCACGGGTTCAAACTTGCGAGTACATTCGGAGCGTTTGGAGCTTTCGGGAGCCTGAGAGAATGTCCTGCACAAGCCCAGTGAGCCAATGCCCATTCGGAAAACAAGCGCGGATAGCATGCGGTGAGAGCGAGCGCCAAGAATCCAGAGTTGTTCTTGCGACTCTTTGGACTTGCCGTTTTGGGCACTCACCTCAAGAATTGCAGGTGTTCTTTTCGCTGAGTTTGGTTGATCGGATTCCTTGCAACCCCTGGGTTCCTTAATCCGGCGATCAACAAGTATCTCACCGGCACAAACGACACGAGGTCATCAATTGAAAGGCGGATTCCACTGGTTCCACTTGTAGTGCTTACCATTTTCCCGGGTCACCTAGGCTCAGAGAACTCGAATGTTTGTTTTCCTTAGTTTCCCCTTACCGGCGCAGTGTTCTTTCCCATCAGGAAGCCCAAGTGCTAACCACCGCAGGGCCTAGGACTCGGACACCGCTCCCACGGGCCGTTTGCTTCCATTTGCTGAATAGTTGCTTTGAAGCTCTTTCTAGTCTTGAGCGGGGAACTGCTAATTTGTAAAGGTACCTTTTACGGAGGTTGGGGTGACGCCTGGGCGTGCTGCACAAAATTCCTCGAGTCAGACTGGGTGCGCTTGCTTGTCAGGAGGGGGGCCGTTTTCCGGCTGCGAGCTCAGACGGGTGCCAACATCACGCAGAAAAATGGACCAGTTCCAGTTCCGATCACTCAAGACGAGTTCTTTTAACTTGCGACTGATTTGTTTCCGCAGTCGATGTTTGACCTGGCTTACCATTGGTCCACTTCTAAGGGCACAGGCCGAGCTTGCAGATCCTTCGGCCTCTTGAGGCCGGTCAGGTTGACCAGCCGCCGGCGGAGCCCAGCGCAGAGGTGGGAGCTGTGTGGAGTGAAAGTGGTTCGGACTATGGGGTTCCATTCGGGAGGTCCGTCTTTTTGCCGGGAGGGGGGGGGGGATTGGCTCTCATCGTTCGCTTGTTCAAAGAGGATGCGTAGGGGCATCACTAGGTCCTCCTCAAACAGCAGCCTACCAGCATTTGGCAAAAACTGTGTTGGACCCTGCGGCTTCCTAAGCGCGACGTGGTTCCGATGTTCTGGGCAGGACAGTGTGAGAGACTTGGGCGAGAGAAGTTGCCGTCCCATTTCCCGGGTGAGAAGTTGACAGTTCGTGAAGCTGCCAAGAGTTGATGAGACGGGTGCAACAGCACCCACGCATATCTATAAGATAGTCAGCCCTTGATTTTGGACACGGTTCATAGTGCGCGTCTGATGCTCCAAGACTTCGCGCATGAGCACACGGAACAACCAGAGGGGAGCGAGTCTTGCATTCCAGAACGCTTTTCACAATCAGCCATGGATCCTGGCTGTCACTGGCTTTTCAGCCATTTGCCTTCTTTTGTCTCATGCAGAAAGCTCCACAGATTCTGGCCAGTTCTGGGTCTTGGCGGTTCTGCCTGATGCTGGGTATATTGAGCCTTCATCCGCAAGTTGGGGTGAGTATTAGAGCCCAACGCCCTCCCACTTTCTGCCTTTGAAAGCCAACAGTGAGGCTGGGTGCTAAACGACTTTTGCATTTCCCAGAGCGGAGACAGCCAAGAGGTTGATGTTTCCGATTTCTCCAGACCCCTTCTATTTCTCACCCGGGAAACAAACCTGAGTCGGGTGGCTGGATGTTGGCTTCTGAATGCAGGAGGCGGTCCCCGACCCGGCGCCTTTGCAGAGGCCGGGGTTTGGTCGGGAAGTGGAGCCGGAAACAGAAACCTCACTGATAATTTTCGGTTATCGCCCCGGAACCCATAATTTTTGCCACGGGCTAGCCACGGGTTGGCCACGGGTCAGCCACGGATTAGCCACCGGTTAGCCACGGGTTAGCCACGGGTTCCAAAAAACACGATACTTTCTTGAAAACACAATGTTGTGGTGAAAAAACACGGCTTGCCACGGGTATTCCACGGGGCCTCTCCTCATTTCCACGGGGCCCCCAGCTTTCCCCGCCAAAGTCCGAAAAGTGTCGCCTGAGGGTCCGCAGAAAGATGCTCGGCGGCTTTCCCCAAAACACCTGCCAAGTCCAGGCTACACCTGCAACCTGAGGTTCCAAACTTTTGTTGCAGGGTGTGCAGCATGGCATCTACGTTTCATCTTGTGCCTGTTCTCCAGTGCTCCAGGGCAATGTTTGAAAGGTATGCCCGTTGTGTTCAAGCGTGGCCCGTTTCAGGTGGGAACGCCGGGATGAAAAGCATGATTGTCCTGAAAACAGGATGTTTTTTTTCAGGGAGACACGATGTTTCGTGGCATACCCCTAAAAACATGAGTTTTCCAAGAGGACACGAAACATTTACAGGTTTTTGAGTCTCTAGGTAGCCTGCCTTCTTGGAGTTTCGGGCGTGTACGCGCTAATGAGCATTCCCGAACATAAGCAAAATGGCGCAAAATGGCGGCGCAAACTGGCGAAATATGGCATCTCAAAAGCAATGGTTTTACTACTCATTTATTTGGCCACAGTGTCAATTTTGTGGTTGCATTTTGCGCTTTTCACCGGCATTCATTGTTTGGGGATTGCCCCTGCTAGCCCAC